GCATTTACATTCATTGATATTCAGAGAGATTGCAGGTACGAGCCCCATATCAAGACTTTGACCTCAGTCTAGGCTGACAACAACAGCAACAACTTGCATTTACAAAGCACCCTTTACGTGGGGCAGCATCTGGGAGTTCTGTCACTCCAATGCAATCCTGAAGGAGAACTGCAGTGTCTGAGATGTAGTCCTTAGGATGAGATGTTAAACTAAAGGAAGTCTTGTCTCCTGTATAGATTAAAGTCCCCAAGGCACTATATGAAAAGGCTGCTCGTGGGATATCAATGGCAAAGTATGCGTATTTAACTGATTAAGACTCCCAGTAGTTACTGCAACGCACACTCTGGGGTCCCCAAGCCTTGGCTTTTGCCAACCTACACCTAATAATTTCCGGAAGTAGATAAGCAGAATGTGTCCCTCCAAGGAGAGAGTATGCATTCCATCAATCTATCTCTGTAATTTCCATGTGTAGCTGAGATCCACGTAATTCTCAGCTTGGTTTGGATACTCTTAAGCACGGTGATGGGTTTCCGCTTGTGTCAGACACCCGGCTGACCAAAAAAAAATGCTGGCCTCCGATATGACCAGTGAGGCCTTGGAGTGATGCAGGGAAACTAAATGTAAAAGATTCACACGGAGACACGAGAGAAATTAACAATAGACTTTAGACTCTGCATCTCATTTTTTCAGTAAGATTGAGAAAACATAATCAATAGTTGAAATCTTTACTGAGCATAAGTAGTTATGGACAGAGGACAATGGGATCAATGTTGCGATCTTTCTTTAAATGGATTTTATTGTTTTTCTTAATTAAGCAATCCGAGTACGAATTCCTTTGGTAACTGGAAATACGTCTTGCACTTCACCTCCGACAGGAGGGAACCCCACTCCAAACACAGATTGAGTTGGCGCAGCGATCCCTAGAGTTGTCATTGCAGGAATTTGTATTTAAGAAATCCATTAAGAAAGATCGCAAAATTGACCCTGTGTTTATTTGAGGATTTGCAAAATCTCATTAAATATTAAAGAGGCTTTGTGAGCATTTCTGTGATATTTAACCATTACTTAAACAACATGTTGCGTACCAGCTTAGGCTCCAAGTCAGTTGTGTGATGTCCTCTTGACCTGAAAGGGATAGTATAATTTCTTCTCAATTGTGGTGAATTGTCACCAAAATTATGTTAATCCTTCCCCCACCCCCCCGTCAGGCATGCATCATAAACACCGCCAAAGTCACAATCATGGGCGATAAGGTCAAGAAGTGATTCATTTTATCAAGAGGTGAGATGCAATGGATCCAAATAGATAGAGTTAACAGTCGGCTTGTGAGATGTGCAGTTCACCTCTGTAACACGGCCTGTTTTACCTTGATTCCTGTTTGGGTCCATCGCAGGTTATATCTGGTGCTTTGCTGTCAAATCCATCAAACTTCATAGTGGGGAAACTTGCTGTGTGCGATAAAACAAACTGTTGCCTTTCATCATTGGGAGAGGAATGCTTGCTCTGACGTCAAATGGCTTTAAACACCAGACCTGCTCAAAATATTGAAAGTGGTGGCTGAAATTCCTGTATCATCTGCTAGAATGTAGGTACTGTTCTTTCATGGGGGAATGTTGAAGAGATTAGATTCTCCCCCCAGCTAATTGGAAGAGGAAGCTCTGTGTCAGTGCAGGCAACAAGAGGACAAATATTGCTCAAGGTCAGCTTTTAGTTTACATTATAAATGGGAGCTGCTGTTATTGAACGTCTTGAGTACTGCCATCCAGTTTATAATATTAGCCATGAGATGTCTTGTCTGAGAGATCGTGCGTTGTGGAATTATTTATTTTCTTTATTTGTCTTGGGACGACAATGACCTCTTGTGTCCCTGGGCATTCCTGTCAGTTCTATGCTTTGTGGCAGAGAGAGAGAGAGAGAGAGGGGAAAGGAAAAAGAGGAGAGAGAGAAGGGATGAGGCATTCCCAGAAGTTTCACTCTGATCTCTGTCTGTCCCACTTTGTTCCAGATTTTGATAGTTATTTTTATTTTTGCTTTTCCTGCTTCCATCCTTTCAAGAGATACACAACAGGTATAAAAATAGGTTCATTCAGCTTGTTGTTTCGCCCACAAAATATACAGTGAATTCAATTTACAATATAATCTGTGTAGCACTTTGAGACATCTCAATCATGTGATAAGAGGCTATATCAAATGCAGGGATTATTATTATTATTATTATTATTATTATTATTATTATTATTGCCCATGCTTGGTGCAGAGATAGACCTGTTAGTAGTGAAATCAGAAGGCATTTCTTTATTCACAGAGTTATGAGAGCAATCACTAGTGTGGGTCCTTACAATCCAATTTACATTTATATAGCACCTTTCTCGTCAGGAGGACGTCTCAAGGCTCAAAGTGCTTGATACTGTTGATTTGGCACCTGAAGTAGGGTGGAAGCTGAAGGTGGTGGGGACGGGAAAGCTGATTGAAAACACAGTCAAAGAGATATTTGAAGCACATGTGAGCATAAACTAGTGAATTTCCTTATCATACGAGCTTCCACAAGCGTGGGTCCTTATTGTGGAAACAGTCACCAGTTTGGGTCCATATTGTGGTAGCAATCAATAATACGTGCCCTTACCGATGCAACTTATTATCCACAAGCTCTTGGCAGCATTTAGCTCTGCTTCTCTATTATGTTGTCCTAATGTGAAACAAACAAAAAAATCAGTCAAGTTGGACAACTGGAGTCTAGCACAATAAATCTCTGAGCTCTGTATGTACAGTATTAAGGGCTGGGCAATAAAACAATTTGTGTGTTCACAGGGAAGCTTTGTGTGGCTGCAAAATAAGTTGGATGGATGGAGCTCCTTCAAACAAGTGTAATTACACCTAGAAAGCTCATTACTATAATCTCTGTCAGACTAATGTGAAAGCGATCTCCACTGAATGCAACTTTTCAATTAGTTGCTGTGATGAGCTCTGAAATGAGGCTGTTGCAGATGTACAAGGCTCGACTTGTTAAGAGCTTTCGAGGAGTTTTGAGCAGTAATTATAGCTTTATGAAAAGCAGAGCCCAGAATGAAAACTCCACGCTGGGGCTCAAAGGCCTGTGGACAGGTATGGAGTGAGTTAACGAAGGGTGGGCGGGGGGAGCTTTGGCTACACAGAGTTGACGCTGCTTTGAAATACTTGGCAGATTTACAGTGACACCCGACCTGCCAGCCAGGCTAGCAGAACAAAAGGCATTTGAAGCTTTTTAGATTAACTCTTTGTGTTATCTCTCCAGCAGCAGAGTGATACGTTTCAGATTGGCTAACCTTTCTATTTTGTCTCCCTTGGCTTACTACGTACATAAGATCTACGACTGTCTGTGGGACGTTGCTGTGCGCAATTGGCTGCCGCGTTCGCCCACAAATATACAGTCAATTCACTTTACAGTGTGTTCTGTGAAGCGCTTTGGGACGTCCTCCCGATGTGAAAGCGCTATATCAAAATGCAAGGATTATTATTATTATTATTAAGATGCGTTGATGTGCCCGATGTTTCAAGCCAGTTGTATCTGATTTTAAAATGATGGTTCGTTCTAATTACAAAGTGACCCAGGGAATTGGCGAGCAGGGAGGTTGGCGTCACTTGAGAAAACAAAGCTTAAAATGAGGAAAGCAGATTGCAAACTGTCTTCTGCATTACTTGTGGGACACGTGAATATATCGCTCGTAAACCAATGTCAATTTTGTTGAATGTGAGATGCCATAATTATGCAGCCAGAAAGCTCTGTAACGAAGGTTGTCTCACAAATTTCACTCTAGTGCTTGCTAATAGCGCAGAAAAGCTGGTAGAAATGATCCCACCAACGTATTTCCCCCAGACTGACTCGTATGTAATCCCATCACCTCCAGTTCAGCGAGTGACGATGAATCCTGTTTGAGGCGATATTGACATCTAATATGCAGCAATTTCCAAAGGCAATCCTTAATGAGCAAACCAGAGGCATGTCACGCCAACTCCTGGGAACCCTGCCCTCATGTAATCTATGTTCGGAGCAGAATTCTCACAGCTCAGCATCACTTACTTGCAGTGATTTCCTTGACTTGGTTTCCTTACTGAGAAATCCTGTTGGAAACCATTGCTTGTCAGACTACCTCACCAAGACTAAGAGTTGACTAGTAATAATTATAATCCTTGCATTTTATATAGCGCCTTATCACGCCGTTGAGTGCTTCACAGGATATACTGTAAAGTGCAGTGACTGTGTATTTTTTTAGGTGAAACCTAACAGCCAGTTTGCGCACAGCAAAGTCTCACAAACAGCCATGGAGTGAGCGACCAATTTTATTTGGGGGATTTATTGGCTGGTACACTGGGAGAGAGAAACTCCGTTCTCTTTTCGAACAGTGCCCCAGGAACTGTTGAAATATTGAGGTGGAAGTCTGGAACTCTCTCCCCCAAAAGCCTGTGGATGCTGGATCAATTGAAACTTTCAAGACTGAGGGGTCGATAGATTTTTATAAGGTGAGGGTAATGAGGAATATGGAGCAGGTAAATGATCATGATCAGCCATGATCTAATTGAATGGCGGAACAAGCTCGAGGGGCTGAATGACCTGTGCCTATGTTCTTTGAGATGTCTCAGCAATGTGATATCAAATACATTGATTATTATAATTAAATCTATGAAAGGTGACATGATTGTTTTTATTGCTGTTTAGATTTAGGTCACTCCTCCGAGCTGACTTTCACCCTGGAGCCCAGTGATGTGATTGCGGTCGAAAGCCACCCTCTGAAGCTGCATTGCCAGGTGGAGGGAATGGAGCCTATCAGCAAGTCCTGGAGGAAGAACGGCATCCTACTGTCCGACAGCGAGCGCACCACACTGCTCGCAAACGGCTCACTCTACATCACAAGCTTCCAATCGCTGAGAGACGATGGGTCCTCGGATGAGGGTGAATACGACTGCACCGCCCAGAACCGCCTGGGTCTCCTGGTCAGCCCGCAAGGCCAAAGTGCAGGTGGCAAGTAAGTGAGGCTGAATCCATCCAGCCGATCTGTCTCTTATATAGAGAGGAGTCTCACTCTCATTTCCCCGCTGCTAACTCAATACTGGCATCTGAGAAGCAAAGGACCTTGTGAGAGCAAGCGTTGTAACAGGAATTAGACGGTTATTGCCAGAATTGATGAACAGTGACTTCAGTACAGCGCTTTGGGACGTCCTCCCGATGTGAAAGCCGCTATATACAAATGTAATTTGTTGTTCTTCTTGTTGTTCAGCGGTAATGTCATAATGTAAAAGATGAGTTGCTGCCATCTGCGGAGATACTGAGAGACACCTAAACATCTTGTTTTTTGTTGGTGCCTCTTGAGGTAAAGGCTGCTATCCTGGATAGTCACTGGCAAGGGATTTACTTTCACACCTCTCCAATTATTGCCCATCGAGAATCTATGCCCATTGGGAAGGTATGGTGGCTCTGGCAAGCTTGCACATGTGCATGTGTTTGTGTGTTGCTTTGGTGATGTTTCTCAATGTAAACCAACTGAATTCCATGGCACTGGGCCTCACTTTGCTTGTCGAGTGCTTATGAAACACAAGCACAGGGTTGCTTATCAGGGATTGATGATTGCCATCAGAGGTGACCTAAAGGATTCATTCTTTGGTACTGCATTGAATTGGAGTGAATTCTTGGTTAAATGCATCTCTGCTGCGTTAGACAGTCGATCTTGCCTCAGATGAAACCGGCGCTGAGCGTAAGCTGACTAGGAGCTACAGTAATGTAGGACACACACCGTGAATCTCTGATCTCAACCGTGCCATTGCAGAGAGAGGTGGTCAGTGAAGATCTGAAACTCTGCTGAAATGACTCCTAAGTCATTTTGTCTTTTTAAAAAAAAAATTAACAGAATTTTAAAAATCGTGCAGAATTGGGGACGTTTCTTAAATTCTGACTCAGTTGGAAAGTCGACTTAAAAAGAACCCGCTTCAAATTAAGGACCGAATTTGTGAATTTTATCACAATTTTAAATGCCAGGTGGAACTTCTGGCCTCAAAGGGGCTTCCTTCCCTGAGGGGAGGGGAGGAGGATGGGGGTAATGTTGAAAATGAAACAAAGAGAAACTTGGAGGGAGAGCTTCACACCGTCACTGTTACTTCACCCTCTCATGGAAGTCTGCAGAGCTACAGCAGCGAAGATGTGGGAACAGGACAGACTCCCTGAACTGAGGTGTATGTGTGTGTGTCTGGGGAGATGGAGGGGGGAGAGGAGATCCAAAAGAAAGAGTACAAAAATAAATCGATAAGTGAAAGATGTGGTTTGAATCTTGACTTCGAACCCCACAAAACTCATCACATGCCTTTTGACCACGGCCGGTATCTGCCTGTGTTATTCCTGCGGTCAGACCCACAGCTTTAGTAATCGTGCTGGGAGGTGGAGAGCCTTTTGCTGCTCTCCTTGGAGAGTACAGACTTGGCCTGGTGTGGCTTCCGGACGGTATCATATGGATCCCGTTGCTGTGGAAACGGTTCAGGTAATATTAAGCTGGTTTCAATGCCGCCTTGCCTTGCCTTGCCTCGCCTCGCCCTGACAAAGTATGTAATTCATTTGCTGAAAAGCTCCGCTCTGAATTGGGTGCAGTTCGGGGAGGTCACGAGATGGCTGTTTATTTGAAACTGACCCGCGTGGTAGTCGAGGTCACTGATTGCAAAAGCGATACCCAAAGTCGTTGGGTCAGCCTTCTTCTTCTTTTTCCTGCCGCCGCTCAGGTTTTACTTTTATGGAAATAAATCGAAATCGGGTTGCCTGTAAGAATTCCAGTTTTGCTTTTATTTCGCTAGGAAAATCAATTGGCTGCTGCATTTCGCCCTCAAAATACAAAATACTCCACTTTACGCTGTATCCCGCGAAGCGCTTTGAGACGTCTCAACCACGTGATAAAGCGCTATATCAAACACAAGTATTATTGTTATTATTAAACCGACCAGCTTGCTCAGACCACCAAGTTGAACGGAAGCTTTAAACGTTAGGATATCAATCACAGGAGATACGACCGACACATCTGATACAAGAAATGATGTGTGTGCGAGCGAGCGAGCGTGGGCATGTGTGTGTGGAGAAGGAGCATTTATATAGATGTGCATTATCAGTAGGTAATTGTAAAGCTACTTATTGATCGGATCAGCCATCTGGTTAATTTCAGAATGGATCACATTCAGCTCCAGATTCCTGCTGGGTTTCTTCCAGATGCTTTATTGCTTTCAATGCCCTTCCGCCCAGGACAGCACTAGAAGATGCTCCAAGTCTGCCCTTGTTCCCCAATGTAATATATGGTATGGTCAATGCTACTTTTAATTAGCCTCCTCCATTGTTTAGGCATATTGGTTTGGAAGCTCAGAGCTGTGTTCTGACAACTGCAGGGAGCAAAGGTTAGCAAAAGCTCACGGTGCCAGCAATCAGCCATTTGCCAGCCTGGGAGCGACACAGAGAGAGGGGGAGAAAGACCCAGGTTGTCTGACCCATCAGTCTTTCTTCACTCTAGGGAACTGTTTTGTTTTCACTTGGCCTCTTTCTCTCTCTCTCTCTCTCTCTCTCTCTCTCTGTCTCTCTTTCGGCTGTGCGCCCGCAACCTGTCTACGTGAGCACCCTTTTGCCTTGTGGCACCCTGTGTCAGTACACCAGCAAGCTTTGCATTGAAAGATTGTCCCGTTCGACTTCTGATGATTGAAAGACAAGACATGTGAAGAGATCAACGTTCTGAAGTTGCGGCTGATTTCACTGGCGCTGCAGTTAATGTGAGAGTTCCAAAATTCTGAATGTCCCGAAAGGTAAATTAAAGAGAGGCACTTTCCGTTGCTCATCGAGTCAGTAGTAAGAGGCTGGGTGGATCCAGAATTTCTCCGCCCTAGCAACAACAACAACTTGCATTTATATAGCGCCCTTCATGTGGGGTAGCATCCCGGAGCACTAAAAAAACCGTCATATGGATGGGCAGAGAACAGAGCGAACCAGGGAAGATTAACCTGAAAGCTTCCCCTGTTGGTAGGACAGTAAAAACCGTAAAGGCGGTGAGATTGGTTTGGACAGTACTCATGAAGGAATGACGGAACATGGAATTATTCTGATCTTTGTGTTAATTTCACGAAACTGCTCATAAATCTGCTTAAAAGTTTTAGAAGGATACCTTTTTGGCCCTATTTGGGGATGATAGTGTTCTCAGATGGTGTAAAGGTTAAAGGTTGGCTAACTCCTGGCCGGAGGAAGCATTTCCCCGCTTTGTCCTCTTTCAAAATAAAGTAACTATCTCACAAACCCATCTCCCAATCTATACAAAGCCCTCTGTATTGTGGGCCTATCTGTCTGTAATCTAATTCCCTTGGAATTGGCTGGACAATCCGCAACTTGTGTAATTTGATGAAACTGCCGGCCAGCTTCGTAAATCACGACGTGACCTCTGGAACACTCCCCTGATGAAGACCATTGATTGTATTGCTCAATAAGGAGGATTTATCACCAGCCAGGCCCACTGCCCTATTGTCTGTCTCTGCACACAGCTACATATCTTCTGGTGCCACGACTAGTCTGCAGTGTTTGGCATTTGATCTGATGATGGATCTTCCTTGATGGGTATTCAAGACCCACTGAGTTGCTCCAACCAACTCTTTGCTCTTTTTCGACATTCTGTTATAAATAAATAATAAATAAACCTTGCGGTTTAATATTAGGGCCTTCACAGCTGTCTCTCAACTCTCGGAGATCACATTGCTGGATTTATTGTAAAGTGAGGTGACTTTCTAGTTGAAAGCAGTAGCTAATTTCTGCTGCTAATTTCCCACAAACAGCCATGAAGTGAAAGGCCAATTTTATCTGGTGATTGTTGACCAGAACACCATGGGGGGAAAAAAAACTTCCTTCTCTTTTGGAATAGGGCCATGGGATCTTTAGCATTCATGTGTACAGATAGAAGGGACCTCGGTTTAACGTCTTATCTGATAGATGGCATCTCCAGCAATGAAACACAGAGCACAGCACCTACTTGGGCCTTGAAACCACAACCTTCAGGCTTGGAAGGGAGAGTGCTACCACCTGAGCCAGTCTGACACTGAAACTCCTTTTACCTTTTACATCAGATCTGCCTGCTCTGTGAATTGCTAAGTCTATGAAGTGAATCTTCTACTTGCTTGGATTAGGAAATTGTAAATGCGATCAAACACTCTCAGGGCAAGGGCAAAAGGAACCAATAAGTGACGTTTGCAAGTTTGTGTTAATTGCAAGTTCCGGTTTGAGACTTCTGTTTGCAATCCAGAACTCGCTAATTCCAAAACCCAAGTCAACGAAGTGTGTGGGTGTGTGTGTGTGTGTGTGTGTGTGTGGGTCGGTGGGGGGGCAGGTTGTGGAAGAGCAAAACAGCTGGAGGGAAACAGACAGCTGTTTTGTTTGACTGATCCTTTTGAAGGACTTCACCAACTCTGGATTCACATATTTTGCCAACTGGAAGTTTTGATGAATATAAAGAATATTGTAAATCAGATATAAAATGGCAATTGCTTTGATGGGGTTTCATTGTGTTGCGAAACTCCGCTACCCACATACTCTCTCAATATTCAATGCAAATTGAGAGATGTTTCTCTTGGATGGCTTCTTTTGCAGCTGCATTGAGTCCCGAGCAACATCAGACCATTTATTTTTCTCCTAGTTTTGTTTCTCTGTCAATTCTCGGCCCTCTCCTCCTCCTCTGCTGAATGCTTCCTTTATCTCCTTCTGCTGGGAGCGATGGTCTCACAGATGCCCAAGTGGCCATTGTTGAATTATCAGTGATGCGCAGTGATAAATGTCTTAGTAACATAGGGGAGGGCGGGAGGGAAAAGAGTGATAATTACCACATACTGCATTTTCCACTACTTGTTAGACGGCAGAAAAAAATTGTTTATTATCATAATAATAACCCTTGCATTTGGTATAATGCTTTTCATGTTGGAAGGATGTCTCAAAGTGCTTCATGGGGATTTCCTGTGAAGTGTAGTGACTAGG